ATAAATGGGGGCAGAATGAAGTGGGAGGGGCTTATCCAAGGTGCCTATGCTAGGGAAAAAGGCGCAGACTCTTGGCCTGTGGGTCCACTGCCATGCTGGACATCATCTGAAAATGGCAGAGAAATCATTACGCGTTGCATCCTTCTGATCATATCCAGATGGGACCCCACAGCTCCCCAGCAACCGATGTAGGGCAAAAGGAGCAAAAGGGGGATCCCTCCAAGGGGTCCCAAAGCCCCAGAGGAGCCCTGCGTTCTGCTCAAGGTCAACTAGAGTCGATCCGTGGGCCGATACATGATTCCTCTGTGACCTCACTAAGAATCAGCTTCTTCAGTCTCCCGGGGAGGCCAGAATATCTTTTCTAATTATTGTATCCGAATCATCTGAAATTCAGAATCATGTGAAAACAGAATGCTCCCATCTTTCTTTGAATTTCTTAGAAAATAAGACGTGCAGAATCAATCCCAGGGCCCCATACAACTAGCCAGACTCCTCCCAAGGAAAAGGAAATCCTACACCCTGCTGATGGCTGATGCATCCTCCATGCAGTCCCCTCAGGCCAGCCCGGGAGGGTTTCAGACTAACATCTCCTAGCACTTTCTAGCTGCCCCCTTATTATTCTTTTGGGGCCTTTGGGGTACAAGGATTCACTGGGCCTGAGTTTTTCACAGAAGCTTCGCAACTGCCTCATGTTTGGAGCTAAGACACCCTTGGCAACAGAGCCTAATTCTCTAGGTACTTCTGGGTTAGTCCAAGTTCCCTCTGAGCTTCAAGAGTCTGCCTCTGTGCGGAAGGACAGAGCACTGACAAATGTCTTCAGTGTACCTTCCTGGAGCCCACTGGGCTGCTCAGCTGCTGCCTGAGGCCCAGTAGTAGGGCCAGCTGCCTTTCCGCCAGGATGAACCCGCACGTGCTGGTCCCCTTGCTTTTAGCTGGCACACAGCAAAAAGGGTACGCTGTGGGCCGAGCTGCACTGTTCCGGCTCTGAAGTCAGGAACGGTGCTCATCTGTCCTTCTTTCCTCTCCAGTGAGAACTACAGAACACATTTACAAGTTCTGTGTTACCAGTGAAATCAATCTTCATGAAAATGTCTTAATGAAATGTGCAAAGGCATCTCACATAGTGATAGGTGGGGTTAAAAGCAGGCACGACTCCAGGCAGGAGGACCTCAGCTTTGTGAACAGTTCACGCACAGGAAGGGAATATAGGACAGAGGGTTCCTCTGAGAATGTGGGGTTAGGGGCAACTTTGTATTGAGTTCTTCAACAAGTTGGTATTTTCTAAAAGAAAACACATACTATGGTATCTGTTACTTTCACAATCCTACAGAAAGGATACTTTGCTCTCAGGGAGGCTCTTAAAATAGTGGTAACTGATTTTATGCATGGTGCCCAAGGAAGCTAGTATTGGGCTTTTACCTCTTCCCAAGGTGACTGTGTGTGAAACCCTCCTCTCAGCTGAACTTTCTTCGCAGGCTACAGATTTTCACTCTGAAAAGACTGCTCAATTTGTGAGGCGTGGCGGTGCACGCCTGTAATCCCAGCACTCCGGAGGCTGAGGCAGGAGGATCCCTGCAAGTTTGAGACCAGCCTGGGCTACAAAGTGAGCTTATGGCCAGCCTGAACTACAAAGTGAGACACTGTCTCAAAAAGATTTAAAAAAAAAAAAAAGAGAAGAAAAGACTGCTCAGTTTATAATCACTATTTTCTCTCTTATGTGAACCTTGACAACATTTGGAACCAGAGCTTAGAACAAGGCACTGTATGTCTTTCTCCTTGTTCCCAGGGCTGAGCGCTCCCAAAAGAATTCTTCAAGTGTATGGCCTGGGAGTCCGCCTGGGACTGGGCTCAGGGGACACAGGGGCCTGAGGGTGCTGCCTCTGTGCACCAGGGCGTGATGAGAAGAACGCTGCCTTTGAAGCTGAAAGGCTCTGTCTCCCGGTTTATTCTGCAAAAGCTGATGATCATATGCTTTCAGACAGATTTTAAAGATTTAAAAGACAGGTTTTATAGGCTACCTAACAATGCACACAACAGAGTATTAATATTAATAAGTGGTGGGTACTGGAGAAGGTAGGAGAGGGGAAAATGTGCTCCTGCTACTGAGATGTCTCTCACCGCGGAAGTTTTCGGAAGCGTGGGGGATGGGGTAGGAGGAGAGGAGCTGTCCAGACCTCGGCCCCGCCCTGGCTGTGCAGGCCGACCAAGGACGCATCTTCGGTTTCACCATGAAAATGTAACCTCTTCTGAGTGGGAGGGGCAGGCAGTGCTACTAGCGGGCTGGTAGCAAAAGCATGGGGTGAGGGGCAGCCCTGGGATGCCGTGGATAACCCTGAATGTAAGGCGCCATCACCACTCAAGAATCACTGCATTAGTGATCATCCAGTGTCTCCCCCTCCACCCACAGCTGCTCGGCCCTTTAACTATTCACTGGGCGCAGCCAGCGGAGTATGCCAGGGACTTACAGGAAATAAAGAGCATGAGGCCGTGTCTAGTAATGGACTGAAATAGTCCCTCTGCTCCACTAGTTATCTGATGCCATTACTAGTGATACTACTATTGGTAGCACCCTTTCCACCACAGCTGGGAGTATTACTATTGCCGTCCATACTTTCTGTTTGCAAATTACTGAACAATTTACAAAGTGCTTCCCTGGCCCGGGTTTCACCTGGTTAAAGAGGACGCTGGCATTATGGGAAGGCGGAGACAGGCTGGAACTAGACTCCTCAGAGAGAACACGGTAGATCTGCTCTTGGGAACAGAGCAGGTGTCAGCAGGGAATCGGATGTATTTTCACTCCCCAGGCGCGCGGGCCACAGACACAACCAGCATCCCAGCCACACCTGGTCACACCGCCCACCCACCCTGCTGGAGTATGTAGCGAGTTAGACAACTTCAAGGGCTAGAGACTAGGGGAAATGGGCTTTTATTTGGTGAGAGCGGCTTGATCCCTCCGAAATCCTACCGAGTGGGGTGGCAGAGAGAGGCATTCCTTCTCCAGTACAATGCCCTCCCCTCCGCCAGCACCTCCTATCTCCTCCACGGCAGGGCTCGGAAAAACACAAAATCTTCCTTTCTCAGGGACTTTAAATTTTCAGTGCTTCGGTTAAAGTGTTCTAATGACCACTTTGGCCTCGTCCCTAGAGTGAAGTCTGGAACGCACACCTTCTTAGCCCAATAGAAGCGCCCCCGCCCCCGCGTTTTCCTCCATCCCTAGGAGGGGACCAAGAGCGCAGCGGAGCCTCAGAGGAATCGTGAACTAGATTCCCTTTGAGAATGCTGCCTTCACCTGCCGACAGGGAGGCCCAGCAGAGCTTAGAGAGAAGGAAGTGACATTTTGGAATCCATTTTGCTCAAGATGCTGAAAATCCCGCGGCAAACTCTCCTTTGCTAGTGGAGCCAGATAACTTGGGGAAGCTCGCCCCAGGCACGCAGCGGGTCGGGAGGAGGGCGAGGGTCGACTGCGGCGCGGGCGATCCCCGAGGGGCGCGGACAGGTGC